TTAACAATACTTTTGCGATGTTTACTGGTCATTGGCTCAGAAAAGGTGTGCTTTTTTTTGTATTGTCTTAACACATTAAACACTGATGCGCGACACACCCCAACTTTGTGAGAAACCTTCACAACAATTTCTTTGATGGTTGATGCCTCGTTCTCCTCGCGCTCGATCTTATATATATTCAAAATGACCTCTTTCATTTCTGCACTCAGGTGTCTTTTTTTAGAGCGTTTCCTAGGTGGACTACAGGAGTTTACAACTTCATCGGCAGTATCTGTACTACTGGGCATTTTGCGCAAGCAGTTGATAACAATAACAATCAATAACAAGGTATAACAATAACAACGACAAACTCGACAACTTAATAAGATAACAAACGAAAACGTCCAAAGAAATATCAAATTGCAATGATGCACACGACATACCTAACACGTCTGAACCTGAATGTGACTCTGCCTTGATACGACTGCTCTGCCGCTCGGCATAGGCATTTAATTGCGAATTGACCAATGAGGGCTCCTGTTTTACGTCGAGACGGCGGCGTTAGCGTGAAAATCACCCGAACCTTTTGTTTACATCCGGTCTATCTCTTATCTGAATATACTGTAATAAATAAAACCGCATGTAGCATTTAAAAAAATGGCGAGATTTACTGCTTGATTGTGACGTACGCTTTATAGTAAAATTAATATTATATAAAGAACAAAACGAATGTTACGAATAATAAAAATTGGAAAATTTTTTTGTTGGATCACATATAAGACAATCTTTTGTGTATTTGCAATTATTATTTATTGCTTTAGTTTGAAGTATAACTCTTTATCAGGTACAACGTTAGAAATAGTTAAGATTACTGCTAAGGTTAAGAGTTATTTATTGTACAGTATAAATATAATGTTCTAATAAAATTTCATTAAATTCCCTGACTGCAGCCTTTTTTTTGATTTTACAAAACTATTTAATTGACAGAAGTCAAAAAAACAAAATTGGATCGACATCATCAAGATCAAAAAATATTTCTGTTGGTATACCACACAAACTAGGTCCACTACTATTTATTTTATAATTTAATGACATTTGTGATATTTTAGATAATTGTAAACGTCAGATATTTGCAGATGATACATTGATAAGACACTGCTTTAAAAATGCTAAATTCTGACTTATCAAAAATCATAAATTGGTTAAATGTAAATAAACTAAAATTGAATACTTCTAAAACAAAATGTATGCTAATAATAATAAATGAAAATACTATCACAGTTAGGATAAATGGAGTAATAATATTGAAAACGTTGAATCAGTTAAATATTTAGGTACATATATTGATAGTAAACTAAAGTTTGAGGATCACTATGAATACATTATTTCAAAAATTGCCAAAAAACAAATTACTTTTATATTATTCTACCGCATTGTTCAACTATCTTGTTCATTGCCAATGAAGCTGTATTCTCAAAATTACAAGTCTTGCAAAATAAAGCTATGAGAATAATATTGAATAAAAGTATGTACACCAAAATAAAATCTACGTTACAAGAATTGCAGTGGCTGAATATAAAAAATTTCATATCATATTTGGTTCTTATTTTTATATTTAAAATAAAAATCATCTTTTGCCAGAACATTTAGAACACTACATAGAATTGAATAGTCATTACTCATTACCACAGTTATTATACAATAGGAAATATAGATTTTCATTTACAAAATTGCAATAGTAATATAACTAGCAAATCAATATTTCAGAAAGGATTACTTGTATTTAATAAACTAAGTAATGATATAAAGTCTACTTGCAATTTAAAGATATTTAAAAGAAAATTAAAGGAATATTTCATGGACAATGAAAATACTTAGAGATGCAAATTTTGGTTTTATTTCTGAATGTTATGTAATTGTTTAGTTATTTAGAAGAATGTACGAATGTACGAACGATTGCTACGTTCTAAATAAATCTTAAACAAACAAACAAATTTCCATTTCTCTCCATCGACAGGCGATGGGAATCAGCTTAATCTGAATGACATGATTATAAGTGTAGAACAAGGCTTGATCAGAGTTTTTAAAGAATATCGAATTTTTTTTTCAAAATCAAAATAAAGTTCATTTAAACCAACATATTTTCTTGGGAGATGTCAATATAAATATTTTGGACGATGATCCCATCACAAATGAATACTTGAATATCCTATCAAGTAACGGATTTCTGTCCTATATAAACCTACCTACAAGGTCCATCAGTGGCACATGTATAGATCACTGCTTTGTGAAAGACCTATCCAACAAAATTACTTGTATACCAATAATCCTACAAAGCGATATTACTGACCACTTCTCCATTATTTTACTGATATCTTCAAATGAAAAACATTCTAACATCCCTACCGTTAGTAACAACCAGGAAAATTACAAATTTTTTGTCGACAATTCAAAACTAATATCAAATGTCAAACAAGAATCCTGGGAACAATTATACTCTATAAATAATATAGACAAAGCAACGGGACTGTTCATAGAGAAAATAAAAAAAACTAATAGATATTAGTACCAATAAAGTAATAATTAGTCACAAAGAGAAAAGCAGAAATGCCTGGATTACCAAAGGATTAATAACATCGGCAATAGAAAAAAAAAGACTATATAATGTAATGAAACTAACGCCAACTACAGAGAATACCGACTGCTACAACCAATATAAAAATAAATTTATAGAGCTTGTAAGGCAAACCAAACGAAAACATTACCTAAATAAATTGAATAATAACTTAAATGATCCTAAGCAGCTTTGGACAACTATTGATGAGATTACTGGGAAAACAAAAGTTAAAGAGTGTGTCACTGAGTTAAATACAACATCGGGAACAGTATTAAAAAATACTCAACAGATATGCGATGAATTTGTACAATTCTTTACTGACATAGGCGAAAATTTAGCAAGTAATATACAAGCAGATGTACAAAATACTCAGCTTCCAAAAAGAACTTTGAACTCATTTATTTTGGATAAAGTCGAGCAATGTGAAGTATACACCACTGTTATGTCCTTAAAAAATCGGAAAAGTCCTGGGTTCGATGGTATTAAAAGCGAGCATTTGAAAATTATAGCCGATGACATAACAGAACCACTCACTTACCTAATCAACAAATGCTTTGAATCTGGCATATATCCCTCAATTTTAAAAAAAGGTAATATAATACCGATACATAAATCAGGAACAAAAACAGATGTTAACAGCTATAGACCAATATCAATAATATCCAGTGTAGCAAAGGTTTTTGAAAAAGTTTTATCTACTAGAATGATTCGATACCTCACAAAATTCAAAATTTTAAGTGAAAATCAATATGGATTTACAGAAGGGAAGGCTACATCGGACGCAATAACTAAAATTGTAAATCAAATACATCAAAATATTGATAACAGAATCCCTTCAATCTGCATTTTTGTTGATTTAAAGAAAGCTTTCGACACAGTTAATCACAAATTATTATTAGAAGCATTGGAGAGAATTGGTTTCAGAGGAAACGCGTACTCACTGATCGAAAGTTATTTGTCAAATCGCCCACAATCTGTGCAGATATCAGGATCATTTAGTAAAGTATATTAAGTGTGGTGTCCCACAAGGAACTGTCTTAGGTCCGCTGTTATTCAATATATATTTTAATGATATTTTCCAAATTAATTGTGTTGGCAAAATAACTAGTTTTGCAGATGATACTGCAATATTATATGAAGGCACTGACTGGTCTGATCTGAAAAATGTAATTGAAAATGATTTTATCAAAATTATTCGGTGGTTTAACAGTAGAAAATTAAGCATTAACTACTCTAAAACACATTTTTTACCATTTGGATCTTATGCTAGACATCTGCCAAATTACACAAATTTCTCCTTCAATATTAATGATCAAAAAATGCAAATTAATAGAGTGCCCAACATAAAATACCTTGGAGTGGTCTTGGATCCTCACTTACGATGGGACATCCATGTCAATTATATTTTAAAGAAAGTTAGATTTGTATCCTACAAAATTAAATACCTTGGGAATATATTGACAGAAAAATATCTTCGAACATTATACCATGCACTGATTGAGCCTCATCTCACATATGGTATATTAGCATGGGGAGCTGCATGTTCCTCACATATTTATAATTTAGATGTTATTTAGCGCCTAAATTTTATGAAATTATACCTAAAGACTTAAAAGATTTACGTTTCGGAAATTGTTTCAAAAGAAATTTAAAAATTCTATATCTAGGACTGAAATTCATAAACTCATAAATACGAACATCAACTAAATACATAATCTACTGTAGCTAATTTTTGTCCTTTTTTGTCATTTGCATTCTACAGTTTCAACTTAAATTTATTGGTCCATGTACAGGCGATGCCTTCTATTGGGCCTGTTTTGATTTTATATTTATTTACTCATATTGTTTGTTATCTTTGTACATTGAGTGAATAAATATTATTATTATAATGTGTGAAAATAAATGTCTGCCAAAATAATGCACAAGTGCTGCAAATTGGGAACAAAGTTGGATTCATACTATTTATTATGTGATTTCAGAAACCAAACAGTAAGGATTTTATCTGCAAATTACGCTTTATGTTTATATCGAACATTTTCAGGGCATTCCACTACGCTGTTCGTATAAAATCCGTCGTGTCCCTTCAGTTCATAATTACACAAAGTGAAATACTTTTCGTCATCTAAAATAATGATAATACGTTTTCTTATTTCTAATTTATACGACATTTTAAAGCGAAAACTTCAAAATAAATGAATGTCAACTGACAGTAAATTCAGTCAAACTTTTGTTTCCAAAGCCAACTTGATATTATTTTGTGTTTGTTAAAATTAAAGCCAATGAATTTTATGCCAAAACTTTTTGGACATACGATCAGCTTTCTTAGGCATAGACTAGGAATGTACGTTGGAATTACGACGAAATAAAAATATTTTTTTTATATTTACGATTCTAACTCATGAGTAAATCTGATCAAGAAATATTAATTATTCTATTTTGTTTTTCATCAGTTCTGGCAAAACTTCTTGCCATTCTTTGTATTAAATGTAATCGAACAGAAAACCAAACACATGTACGTTATCTTATTAAAACAACAATCTCAGTAATTTTCGAGATTTTTGATGAGCCTGCATTTCTGGACAGATAAACTGTACATCTTCAATCTATAGTCAGTACATTTTAATGAGCAATCCCAGTCATTTCGTTATTTATGGTAAGTGGTTGCATGCTTTTTATTTACCCTATGGGATATACACACTAAATATAAGGGTGATTAAGAAGAAAGTGGCAATATTTATAGGGCATAACGTGTATCAAATCATCACGAAAAGTTTGCATAAACATGGGTCCCAAAATGTTCCTTTACAGGGTGTGGAAATTATAATTTCGAAATCGAAAATAAATTATATCTTCAGAGTAGAGACTATTGACTTCTTTTGTACTTGTCGTACTGAAATCACAGTAAATACATACAAAATACAAACATTTTCACGCCTGAGACTATACCAGTGCCGTAGAAATTATGAATTTTGACCTCTACATAAGAATAGAAAATAATCTTTTTTTTACGTCACTGACCTCTTTAAAACATCTATTGCATTTTTTAATAAAATATTCAATCCTAAATGAATCGCCTCACTTGAAAAGCCTTTTTTATACTACTTCTTTAGGAAAAAAAATCGTTTGAATGGTTGAAGCTAAATCTATATAAAAAAATTCAACCCGATCTATTTTGAAAATACGAGCCCCTTCCCACTTCAGTTGGTCCACTTCAAGATTTGTACCAAAATATGTCTTTATAAACTAAACATGACGAAACTATTTACTTCTAAAATAATTTATTTCTCAAAAACATTTTAGATACACTCTAGTCGTAAAAAATACATATTTGAAATCACTTAGACCTATAACTAATAGAACATCTGAACAAATAAACAATGCGCGAATAAATGCGCGAAGTTAACAAAGCAACAATTGAAAGATTACCATTGGGTAACATCACCTTTATTTTTTATTACGGCTGAAATTCTTTGGGGCATAGTGTTAACCAAGTTTTGGCAAAAATTTAGTGTAAAACAATCTCATATTTCTTGAAGCTTTTGTCTTAGTTCGGTGATTGTACGAGCAGGATGATGTCGTAGAAAATTTTCATCTTGTGCCACAAAGTTTCAATAGGTGACAGATCTGGACTGCTAGAAACCCATTTCAAAAGTGGTACATTATTTTCTTCCATCCATTTTATAGCCTTTTTCGATGTATGGCACGCTGCACCATCTTGCTGAAACACGAAATCTTGGCCGGATGTCAAACATTCTTCCATCACTGGTAAAAGCGATTCTTCTAAAATTGCCAAATATTTGTTTGTATCCACATTTTCATCAATAAAATGAAGTTTTCCTACTCCTTTTGATGACATACTGCCCAGACCATAATGGATGCTGGAAATTTCACTTTTCTTTATCTATGTTCTTTAGCCCATATAAGCCAATTTTTCTTTTGCAGTGGAGTTAATAGTGGCTTTTCTTTGGCCTATAAACAAGTTGTGCAACTTTAAGGTTTTTACTTCACTTTTTTTATAAGAAAACTTACCTTGCAAGTGCTAAATCCCAGTTTGTGGGCCTCTCTATGAGTTGTGGAGCTCGAAATTCTCCTTCCAACAGCGTCACTCCACAGAGCACTTATTTGTAAATAATTGCCACGCCTGTTTTTCACGATTATTCTTCTTAATGCTCTTCGGTCGGCAGTTGTGGTATTACTTTTTTTCACATATCGTGGCTTGATATTAACTGGACTAGTTACCTTATATCTTCTAACAATATTTCTCACACTGTACCGCGATAAGTCTAACAAAGTTGCAATTTCTGAGTTTGATTTCCCAGAATTAAAAAATTTAATTATAAGTAACCCAATTTTTGTCACTAATAACCTTTCCTCTACCCATTTTGAAAACCTTTACTACCCACAACCCTTTTAAACGTATTCAGACAGCTGTGATTAATAAAAACAATTGTCATGGATTTTATTTTTCACAGCCAAATGCTGCAAATTTATATATATTATATAACACCCTGCTACATTTTTATTATTTGTGTTTGATAAGAAAAAAACAGATTTCAATAGTTGGGTCGACTGAAGTGGGAAAGAGCTCGTACAAGTCAGTGAATTTTGATGTTGAACATTGTATATAATAATAATAATAATAATAATATTTATTCACTCAATGTACAAAGATAACAAACAATATGAGTAAATAAATATAAAATCAAAACAGGCCCAATAGAAGGCATCGCCTGTACATGGACCAATAAATTTAAGTTGAAACTGTAGAATGCAAATGACAAAAAAGGACAAAAATTAGCTACAGTAGATTATGTATTTAGTTGATGTTCGCATTTATGAGTTTATGAATTTCAGTCCTAGATACAGAATGTAGCCACTTTTTTAAATTTCTTTTGAAACAATTTCCGAAACGTAAATCTTTTAAGTCTTTAGGTATAATTTCATAAAATTTAGGCGCTAAATAGAGATATGATCGCTGCATTATAGATTTATGCGGTTGAGGAACTACTGTGCCACGAATTTTGTACCTGGTATAATGATTATGTTTAATTTTTTGGTCGGTGTTTACAAATTTATGGTAGTGAGTGATACTGTGTAAGAAATAAAGCTGTCTTATATCATACATTCGAACATCTGCGTATAATTTTTCAGTGGGATATAGTTTCGGTTTTTTAAATATCATTTTTAGAATACTTTTTTGGAAAACATCTAAATTATAGATATGTGAGGAACATGCAGCTCCCCATGCTAATATACCATATGTGAGATGAGGCTCAATCAGTGCATGGTATAATGTTCGAAGATATTTTTCTGTCAATATATTCCCAAGGTATTTAATTTTGTAGGATACAAATCTAACTTTCTTTAAAATATAATTGACATGGATGTCCCATCGTAAGTGAGGATCCAAGACCACTCCAAGGTATTTTATGTTGGGCACTCTATTAATTTGCATTTTTTGATCATTAATATTAAAGGAGAAATTTGTGTAATTTGGCAGATGTCTAGCATAAGATCCAAATGGTAAAAAATGTGTTTTAGAGTAGTTAATGCTTAATTTTCTACTGTTAAACCACCGAATAATCTTGATAAAATCATTTTCAATTATATTTTTTAGATCAGACCAGTCAGTGCCTTCATATAATATTGCAGTATCATCTGCAAAACTAGTTATTTTGCCAACACAATTAATTTGGAAAATATCATTTAAATATATATTGAATAACAGCGGACCTAAGACAGTTCTTTGTGGGACACCACACTTAATATACATTTCTTTACTAAATGATCCTGATATCTGCACAGATTGTGGGCGATTTGACAAATAAGTTTCGATCAGTGAGTACCCGTTACCTCTGAAACCAATTCTCTCCAATGCTTCTAATAATAATTTGTGATTAACTGTGTCGAAAGCGTTCTTTATATCAACAAAAATGCAGATTGAAGGGATTCTGTTATCAATATTTTGATGTATTTGATTTACAATTTTAGTTATTGCGTCCGATGTAGCCTTCCCTTCTGTAAATCCATATTGATTTTCACTTAAAATTTTGAATTTTGTGAGGTAATTTTGAGAGGTATCGAATCATTCTAGTAGATAAAACTTTTTCAAAACCTTTGCTACACTGGATATTATTGATATTGGTCTATAGTTGTTAACATCTGTTTTTGTTCCTGATTTATGTATCGGTATTATATTACCTTTTTTTAAAATTGAGGGATATATGCCAGATTCAAAGCATTTGTTGATTAGATAAGTGAGTGGTTCTGTTATGTCCTCGGCTATAATTTTCAAATGCTCGCCTTTAATACCATCGAACCCAGGACTTTTCCGATTTTTTAAGGACATAACAGTGGTGTATACTTCACATTGCTCGACTTTATCCAAAATAAATGAGTTCAAAGTTCTTTTTGGAGGCTGTGTACTTGAAGAATAATCCTAACTAACCATAGCGTTGTTTGAACAATATTAATGTTTTGCGCTTATTTAGTCTCATCAGTGACATAAAAATTACAACAACCTGTACCTTCGTAATGGGACATTTTAGGACCTATGTTTGTTGAAACTCATTTTTAAGATATTCATGAACTTCTTGTCCAAAATGTGGTGAAGCTCCATCATGTAGGAACCACATATTCTGCCTCACATTTAGACGAAGAAAATCTAAATAAATTTCACCGCGGTGGAAACAAGTAGGGTGCAATAAGCATGCCATTTACCATTTAATGAAAATCTATGTTGTGAATGAGTTCTTTTTACAGCATGCGGATTTTCTACTGCCCAAACATGATTGTTGTGGAAATTGTGCACTCCATTTCGTGTAAATGTGGCCCCGTTTGTACATAAAATTAATTTCGTATAATCTTCGTTTCTGCCGTCGGCAAAATGCATGATGGATGATCTTCAGGTTGTAAAATGACTCAACCTTGAAAACACCCTGTATAAGTTACATTGAATTCCAACTTTTTATCTTTTTAAATTGCGTATTATGACATCGCTTGTTCTGCAATGTTTTCTATCGACAGATCTTCAACGTATAGGCACCACAGGTAGGGGCTTAGCATAGATCCCTGTGGTACTCCGTATCGTTGGTGGTATATTGTTTTTGAAGTGTATTTGTCGGATGATCAAATAGTTTTCTATAATCTTGATAACATTGTTAGGGATCTCTGTTTGTTGTAACTTATAAATCAGAGCACTATGAGTGATGCCACGCGATGTCGCTATCCAAGTGCAGCTGTAATGACTTTACCTGTTCGGAAAAGTTACGTTTGTATTCTCTTGCCGTTGATATTCTGGAATGATTTTACTGAGTAAATGGAGCTCAACTTTTCCGGCCAATTTACAAATTATATTGACCAAAGTGGTTGGCCTATATGATTCTGGAAGTCTACTTCCCACTTCAGTTAGCCCAACTATTGAAATCTTAGTTTTTTTCTTATCAAAAACAAATAATAAAAATGTAGCATGGTGTTATAGGTTTAAAATATTAACAATGAATATTTTGATAATATATAGTAGAAGACACCAACTTTATCACTCCCTAATCAAATTTGCAGAATAAAAATAACACATGTTGCAATTACAGCATATCGACCTATTTTCATTTCAATGCAAAATAAGTCTACAGGTATAACGCATACGTGGCTGTGAAAAATAAAAGCCATGGCAATTGTTTTTATCAATCACAGCTGTCCGAATACGTTTAAAATAGTTTTGGGTAGTTAAGATTTTCAAGAAGGGTAGAGGAAGGGCCATTAGTGAGAAAATTCGGTTACTGATAATTAAATTTTTTAATTCTGGGAAATCAAACTCAGAAACTGTAACTTTGTTAGACTTATCGCGGTACAGTGAGAGAAATATTGTTAGAAGATATAACGTAACTGGATCAGTTAATATTAAGCCACGATATGTGAAAAAAGTAATATCACAAATGCCGACCGAAGAGTATTAAGAAGAATAATCGTGAAAAACAAGCGTGGCAATTATTTACAATTGAGTGCTCTGTGGAGTGACGCTGTTGGAAGGAGAATTTCGAGGTCCACAACTCATACAGAGGCCCACAAAACTGGGATTTAGCACTTGTAAGGTAAGTTTTCTTATAAGAAAAAGTGAAGTAAAAACCCTAAAGTTGCACAACTTGTTTATAGGCCACTATTAACTCCACTGCAAAAGAAAAATCGGCTTAGATGGGCTAAAGAACATAGAAATGGACATCCCAACAATGGTGTGCAATACAATGGAGTGATGAGGCTCGATTCGAAGTTTGTGTTGGTGACAGTCGCAGTAGAGTTATTCGCAAATTCTGAAGAGCAAAGTGAAATTTCCAGCATCCATTATCGTCTGGGGCAGAATATCATCAAAACGAGTAGGAAAACTTCGTTTTATTGATGGAAATGTGGATACAAACAAATATTTGACAATTTTAGAAGAATCGCTTTTACCAGTGATGGAAGAATGTTTGACATCCAGCCAAGATTTTGTATTTCAGCAAGATGGTGCAGCGTGACATACCTCAAACAAAGCTATAAAATGGATGGAAGTTAATAATGTACCTTTTTTAAATGGGTTTCTAGCAGTCCAGATCTGTCACTTATTGAAACTTTGTGGCATGAGATGAAAAAGTTTCTACGACAACATCCTGCTCGTACAATCACCGAACTGAGACAAAAGCTTCAAGAAATATGGGATTGTTTTACACCAAATTTTTTCCTAAACTTGGTTAACACCATGCCCCAAAGAATTTCAGCCGTAATAAAAAATAAAGGTGATGTTACCCAATGGTAATCTTTCAATTGTTGCTTTGTTAACTTCGCGCATTTATTAGCACATTGTTTATTTGTTCTACTAGTTATAGGTCTAAGTATTTTAAAAATTTATTTTTTACGACTAGAGTGTATCTAAACTGTTTTTGAGAAAATAAATTGTTTTAGAAGTAAATAGTTTCGTCATGTTCAGTTTATAAAGGCATATTTTGGTACAAATCTTGAAGTGGGCCAACTGAAGTAGGATATTTACCACCTGTATTCATACTCAACAACGAAACGAGCACTCTCCTTTCCAGAGCAGATGACAGAACTCTACCGAAATGTCCGGACTTGCTACCCAAATGAACATCTTCTCGGTAACGAGAACGATGTTGACGTTGGGCCCAGCTCTGGGATTTCTTGTCTACATGTATTCGAGTATCTTGACTATGAGGCAAGATATCGTCGACAGAGACAACAGGGTCAAAGATGTTCCACTAATCGAGCTACGGAAGTCCTACGACTTTATCGTAGTAGGCGCGGGGAGTGCCGGAGCTGTTGTAGCTAATAGGTAGGTTTATTGTCTGTCTATATTTACAATAAGTCATGTAACGGGTGATTTTTTAAGGTATAGGATTTGATTTAAAAACGATTAAATCTTTATTTGAGTCGATAGAACGGTCGGATATAATTTAATGTTTAAAGATTATTTCATGTAAATGTTGGCCGCGGCTCCGCTTTAGATGGCCCATGCGCAAGGTCCAATTTTGGCACACTCTCTCCAACATATCGGCCGGTATCTCACGAATAAATGCTTCAATATTGGCTTCCAGTGCGTCAATCGTTGCTGGTTTATCCCTGTAGACATTAGCCTTAACATGGCCCCGCAAGAAATAGTCCAACGGCGTTAAATCACACGATCTAGGCGGCCCATAAATCCACACCAAACAGTGATTTTTTCGGGATGCATCGGTAGCTCTTGCAATGCTTCTGGCTTTTGCTTTGCTTTTGCTTGTTAACGTACCCATTCAACCAGAAATGAGCTTCGGCGCTGAACAAAATTTTTCGATAAAAATGTGGATCTTCCTCCAACTTTGCCAGCGCCCATTCACCAAATTGGAAACGTTGGGAGGTCGTGTGGCTTCAATTCTTGCACCAGCTGTATCTTATAAGGTTTTACACCCAAATCCTATCGCAAAATTTTCCACGTAGAGGCCCAATTGCTGCGAACGGCGGCGAATCGACATTTCACGGCCATCACTAACACTGGCGGATACAGCCGCAATATTTTCTTCAGTCCTCACCCTAAGTCTGCGTGTTGGTGGTTTAATGTCCAATAATGTAAACTGGGTTCGAAATTTAGTCACAAGCTTCCGAATAGCTCCCTCAGTAGGCCGACCAAATTGCCCATACATTGGAAGCAGTGCTCGATGCACTCTCTTAACCGAGCATGAATTTTGATAGTAAAATTCAATAATTTGCAAGCGTTGTTCGTTCGTAAGTCGACTCACGGTTAAATTATAGACCAAACTGAACAAGTTTGACAATGACACAAGACACGATTCACGCGTCATCTGTCAAAAACAGTGTTGCCAAAAAGATACTAGCAAAAAAATCACCCATTATATGTGTATATTGTACATGTGCTGCCAGTATAAATGAGCTAGATTCGATTTTGGTGATGACAGTTAATTGCAATTGCTTGCGCCTGTCGTAGACTGCCTATTTTTTTGGTTTTAGTACATTTGTGCAATTTTTATGATTTTGTACTGATAGCTGCAAATAAATCGTATCATTACTATCATTTAGAAGAAATGTAAAATTATACGGGGGGTTTCTATTTCAGGCTGAGTGAAAACCCCTACTGGAATGTTCTGCTGATAGAAGCGGGGCCAGATGAAGTCACGCTAACAGACTTACCTCTGATGTTTCCGACTTTGCAATTAACGTTCCTCGACTGGCAATATAAGACAGAACCTGGCGCGAACTATTGTCTCGGCCTAAGGGACAAGCGTTGCAACTGGCCAAGGGGCAAAGTCCTGGGCGGGTCCTCGGTGCTAAATGCTATGTTGTACATCAGAGGAAATAAAAAGGATTACGACAGGTAGGTAATAACATAGGGCTATCTATGTACTCAGGAGTGTAGTAAAGTCTCCGATTTGTGTGCAACACTCTAAGGCCCAATTTCACCAACATTAATATTATGGACCAATGGGAAAATACCTTATCGATTTCTATTGAAATATTGAATAAAATCGTGAAAATTCGACTGTATTATAAACAAGACCACTTTTTGATTCCAACATGATGCTTTTGTACAGAAAAAACAGGACAAATTTCATGTATTTTGATATATATTATAGGTTTACATTTAACAATCCGTTATCCCCCTCAGCGAATGGGAATGCGGCAAATAATAGGTCGATTTTCTAGCTGTTAAATTTGACAGCAGATTTGGACGTTTGTTAATGCATGGCACTCTCGAATTTACCAACTTCAATATACTGAAAGTTATCATTACATACCTGTTGAATAGTGTGGATTTGTCTGTATTTTGCAAGAAAATAGAATATAAAATACACTCCATCCAATTCCTCATCTTCGTTTACGTCATAATAGTAATCATTTATAAATTTATGGGTTAATGAATTTCTTTAAAGCAATAAAAACATTATGTCCTCTCCATCCTAAAACACAGATAATATGTGTAAGACGTGTCAATCCCTACATCTCCCTGATGCATTATGCAATTACTATGGACATAGACAAACAATTATGAAAAATGTTTCACAAATAATGTCTTTTAAGTCCAAAAATCATAAAAACTAGTAATGTTTAATGTTTGTTTTTTTGACTGGCGGGGATATCTATCTGTCACTCGCAGGGTTGCCAAGTCTAACGACGATCACATCCCGTGGTGGAGGGTGCGAAATTAATCTTTTACATTTGCTGGTTTTGCATTTTTTAATGAAAATTTACTAGTTATCATGATTATAAGCATCTTTGGTAGATTGTTCGATCCGGAATGGGAAAGTCCTCCTATTTATGAAAATATTTTTGGTATCATCTAACATCTAACCGTTGCAATCAGTGCACAAACACAGTGACATATGATTTATAGCATAACCCGCTGCCCTATCAACACAAATTTAACATACAGGTCGCCTAGCCGTGGGGATGCAGTGATCGGGATGAATATCACGGCAGCAACTGATGATTTGGGCATGTTTGGTAACAACGTATGAAGTGAAACTCACTACTTTCACAAATTTGAAGATTTTGTACAATTTCTTTGAAAATTATGAAAGATAATATGTCTGATTTGGCAGGGTAATGTCGCAGCCAAATGGCAGTCATTCTTTCTGACACAGTCCGGATCGAAATATGACGATACTCGTGAAGTGTATTGATACTTCTAAATATAGGATCGTATCGAACATCCCTACTGTCAAGATGTATAACCCAAGGTACCGACGGAGCTATTTTGCGGCGTCATGGAAATAATTTTAAATTTTCATTTGCATTTTTTCAAGTGTTGTGCAATGATTTTGGGAAAAATGTCACGAATAGTCTTATAAATCATAGTAAAGTATATTTCAACAGTTGGCGGAACTTACTCCACTGGGACCAGGAGGGTAAAACTGGATATTAATGCACAATCTGGCAACCCTGTCGCACCCTCACAAAATGGCCGCTGACAACCACACAAGTCACCGTGTTGTCATTGAATAGCATGGAATTAAACCTTCAGAGTATATGTTTTGTGACTGGTACCAAGAGTTGGCAGATCCCACACATGTGTCACTCCTTGAAATGCAATAATCATGTCTAATATAAATATAACCTAGAATGTGTACTCGTGAAAAAAGAAAAATATGGCAAATTTGTAGTTTTTTTGCAGGTTTTAGGTTTGCTGGTAGCTTTAAGGCATACATGTATATTTGGGAATTTCTTAATCGCTGTGAATATAGTGTGGATGTTTGTTCACTTCCTGAACAACGAAAAGTATTCAACTTTATGGATGTATGAATATCAAAAAACCTGAATGGTTTTGTGGGAATATCAATCTAAGGTGCCATAATGGTTCTGATGAACGGCAAGTAAATGAATGAATGTTCGGAAACGAGCAATATCTTTTGGTAGAGCCTGTCATCAAGTAGATGCTTAATGGCTATCTGCAAGAGGTTTATAGGAAAAAACACCCAGTATCGCATATCAATTGAAAAAAATAATATAAACATGAATAAAAAATCAACAATAGTAATTAAAACATGAATTTAATTAAAAAATCAAACATTTATTAAAATTTTGACTGAATTATATGTAATTTCTGAATATTCAATAAGCTGGTGATGTTTCAATGACAAGTTGTCATCTCATACTTTGACAGTATTTTGTTTTCAACATTTCATAGCTATTGGTTGCTAAAATTTGTTGATTGGAACTTGAATCTCATTCGCTGTATCTGACGGTCTGTTAACCTATAGGTGGAGAATAACGTTGGTGAAATTGGCTAATTTTGGCGTATTTGTAAATCACACATACTTTCAAAAATAAATTTTGCTGTTGAACGTTTCAGATGGGAGCAACTTGGAAATCCCGGATGGAGCTACAAAGATGTTTTGCCATATTTCAAGAAATCAGAAGATATGAGAATTCCCGAATTACGCGATGACCCGTACCACGGCAAAGGTGGATACCTGTCAGTCGAAAATTTTAGGTAAGCATGAAACAGCAGAACAACCGTTCAGAGATAGAGTGCCAAGCCTACATGAAACTAATTTTTGACAATTTCCAATATCCTGCCTACAAAAAAAAAAAGAATTCTGAGAGATATAATAAACTCCTGTAGTTTAGATAGAGAATTTTCAGACTCATGGAAAATTGCCAAAATTATACCAATATCACAGAAGTCTGAAATTAACGACTACAATGATCTTACGAGCCGTGAACAAAGAAATCTGGCAACGTAGGTGGTAGTGTTACTCCCGCCGCTGCTTGCTGCATCGACGCAACTCGTGCTCAAAACGCTGAGAAAACATAACCTTTTCAATTTGTGATTTTGGAATCCCAGAGACTGTAATTAAGAGATAAGCTTGTTTTCTAAGCTTCAAAGTGTGTGTATGTGTTCAAAGTGATCGGTGACTATAATACATCAGAAACAGACTCCAGTTGTAGTGCTTCTGTGCTTTAAAAATAAACTAAGAAGTGTAACTGTGGCTGTTCGCGCCTCAGGACGCTAAGGATTTCAACTACTGAAAACGTGCAAATTCAGGTTGTATTTTTCTTTTTTCATTTATCAAGTATTTGACGCAGACAATATGCCTCGTTGTTGCTGTGTTCCTTTATGCAATGCAAACTATAATTCTGCTTTGAAAACAGAAAGCTATGTTTCAACTTTTCGATTCCCAAGTACCGAAAGTCTGAAAAACAAATGGCTTATGGCAATTCCCAGAAAAAATTGGACACCTTCAAAATATTCAGCTGTGTGCAGTCGTCATTTTAGAGAATCGGATATCATCAGGACAGAAAATATAGTTTTGGCGGATGGAACAGTCCAAAATAATATACCTTTGAAATATCCAAAATTGAAAGAAAATGCTGTTCCCTCCATTTTCCCAAACTTGCCATCATCTTTCAAAAACTGAAGCACCCAAAAGAACTGACCCAATGCAAAGAAAACAAAAATTAATTGAGAAACATGAAAAAGCTATCCAGAATTTCGATGATATGGATAAGATCAAAGATAAATTTAGTTCAAAAATGTGGATTTGAAGTTATTTGTGTTGTTACTGATAATCACGGAATTAATAGAGCAATGTTCAGGAAATTAGCAAAGGATTCATCAGAAAATTATTCTATTCCAAATCCACATAATCCTGATAAGAACATATATTTAACTTATGATGTTGTGCATATTTTCAAGAGTATCAGAAATAATTGGATTAATTTAAAAAACCTAGACAAAACTTTTGTATATCCTAATTTTGACAATAATGATATTATTCAGTATGCTAAATTTGAAAACATTCGTGCTGTATATCAATTGGAAAAAGAAGCTGTAGTTAAGAAAGCATATAAATTAAATTATAAAACATTGCATCCAAATTCATTTGAAAGGCAAAATGTAAATTTTGTAGATAATTTATTCCATCACTCAACAATAGCTGCTATGAAAGAATTAAAGTTTAATGATGCTGCACACTTTTTGGAAATAATCAGGAATTGGTGGGATATTGTCAGTAATACAAGTGTAATAAAAGGAGAATTGAAGCGAAACGAATTTTGTAAGCCTATTACCAATAAATATGATTATCGAGTACAATTTTTAAAAAAATTCCTGATATGGTTAGAAAAATGGCATAATCTAGAGAATAATAATGGACACCTGACACCAGAAACGTATACAGATCTATATCAAAGCACGCTGACTCTACTTAATATAATTGAATATTCATTTAATCAATTTGACATTGAGTATGTATTGCCTGGAAAATTCACCACTGATAATTTAGAAAAACGATTTGGCAATTATAGACTTTTATGTGGCTGCAATTACAATGTGTCATATGATGAAATTTTAAATGCTGAAAAGAAAATACGGCTGAAGCACATTTTCAATGAAAAGAAATCGTCATTTTCTTTAGCAGAAATTAAAACAAGGTTCCAAAACTGCTTAGAAACTCAAGAAAATTTTGATTTCTTGGATACCAAACAAAATCCTGAAGTTTTGGATATGTTCAATGAAGTATTTGAGACAAATTACTTAGCCAATTGTGACATAGAGGATAGTAAGACTTATATATCTGGATATGCTTCACACGCTATCTCTAAAAACCTAAACTGCGAGATATGCAAATCGCTAATAGTTAAAGAAAAAGGTTCATTAACAACAAATGTTTATTTTGATCATTTGCAAAGAGGAGGACTGTCAATTCCAACCAGTTATGTACTAATCATATTCTACCATATGTATGCCATTTTTGAATCTATTATTAATGTAGATAGATTGGAAATTTTCTTCTTGAAAAGCAATAATCAAAAATTTATTTTGTGTCAGTTAACCTTGCTCAGCATTCAGTCTGACTTTATATACAGTGAATTTTCTTTAACCTGCATCTGTGGCCGCAATTATGCAGATATTTTATCTAAGCTTTTGTCTATTTTTTCAAACATAATTTTGAATGATTAAGTAAAATTGAAAAATAACAGTAAAACTGAAAGTAAATGTATTAAAAACAAACAGGTAACTCCACATTTCCAAGCTGGGCCTGTTGGAACACAGTGTGCTGACACCAAAAAACGTAAACTAAATACTTTTAATTAGGTTAACTGCATTAGCGACTCATATATATCACGATTATTTCGTATTTTTAAATTTTTTAGAGCTATTTCATATTCAGACGATTTGTATCGAATCGAACTGTCCTCTTTTCCAAAATTAAATTTAGTTCTTGAACGATACACGGAGACGGAGCACACTGCCGCTGGCGGCAGATTCCGGAAAAACCACCGCTCTCGTGCTCTTGGACTACTCCAAGGCATACATCCAATCACGAAATGCTGTTTTATATTTTTCACTATATAGCTTATGTGCCACTATTTAACTAACAGAACACAATATGTAGAAACAGATAAAGCTATATCCTCCAAAGATGTCATCCCATCGGGTATTCCACAAGGCTCCATTTTAGGACCTCTGATTTTTAGTATTTATACCTCAAACCTTTCCCAATGTCTCCGAAGTTGTCAGGTACATTTGTATGCTGACGATACTCAGCTTTATTTTTCTCCCAATCCTAACGAGAAACGTGATCCATTATTAGTCTAGATATTGAAATATTAGTTGTATTTTCGGAAAATCATGGTCTACAGATTAATGCAAGCAAATCACAACTCATGTTATTTGGCAGATTAAAATACAATATTGAGCCCGCTTTTCATGTCAAAATAAAAAGTGAATCTATACCTTGTCCTGCCACTGTGAGAAATTTGGGAGTAGAATTTGACTCATATCTAAGATTTAAGCCTCATATTAATAAATGTATCCAGAAAGCTGCTCATCGATATGTCCTCCATGTTAAACTTAAAATATTGCTTTGCAAAACAATTTTTTTTATGTTTTTCGCCATCTATATGTTGCTGTATGCTAAAGAATCCTCTGGAAATGTGAACCACTTTAAGACAAACATTGCAAAGAAGTTCAGTTTCACTGTGCTTTATGACCCAATGTGAAATCAAATAATTATTGCTGTCTTTCTTCGTCAACCATTCTTCTTAGAAATTAAGACATTTTGTCACCATTCTACTAAAATCAGTCATATTTTCCCATGTAATAGCTAAACCAAGTACCTATTTGATAGCATCCAGAAATAATTCCTAAATTACAATTTTTCCGATTTTTGGTTACTAAATTTGATTTTTCTGTTACAATGGAGTAAAAATACAACACTTAATATGTAATTTTAAACTGTGTAGTCATCATTATAAACTCTATATAAACAAGGTTTACAATGATGACCACTTCCTGAAAAAAATGTTGCTAACACAGCCAAAAAATCGGTCATATTTCCCATGTAATAGCTAAACCAAGTACCTATTTGATAGCAGCCAGAAATAATTCCTAAATTACAATTTTTCCGATTTTTGGTTACTAAATTTGATTTTTCTGTTACAATGGAGTAAAAATACAACACTTAATATGTAATTTTAAACTGTGTAGTCATCATTATAAACCCTATATGAACAAGGTTTACAATGATGACCACTTCCTGAAAAAAATGTTGCTAACACAGCCAAAAAATCGGTCGGAGCAACGTAAAATTTCCTCAGTTGATCTTCATTGGGAAAAAAAAATTAAAAATATGACGATTTTTCTAAAAATATGAAGTTTTATGAAACTTAAAAAAATTATGAAAAATATGAATCTGTTCCGGACCCTGAGCATTCCGCCGTTTGGTTCGTAAAATAATATCTGGCTTTCAATCTATGGCGCCTGTACTATACAAATATCTATAAAAAACCAGTCCGAGAACGGTCCGAGTCGGAGCAGCTGTTCCGTTTCTCGGATGCAGGCCCAGTCTCCTTGAACATAGGCAACATTTATAACACTATGTTTTTATAATCTTTTTTCCAATTTGTCGATAGATATTGAAATGTAAGATCAACATATTATCAATATAACATCAATATTTCAGTATTCCGATATTATTGTATGATAGGACTATCAAATTATTACTTTTAAAAACGACTTGGCAAGTCATGTTTTTATACGTTGCTTCCACAAACTTTGTAGTGGTATGTATATATACCGCACGAGCGCAGAACGAGGTGGGGAGGTACGAAGTCTCTGGGGAAAACAATATAAAAACAACACAAAAACCAACATCTGTCTGTAATTCTTTCACGAAAAATCGTATTTCACCCCGGGGATGACTATAACCTTCCTTTTTTGCAAACAAAATAACGTATAGAAGAAAAATACATAAAATGTACTAAGGCAAGCAACTTTTTATCTTCCCAAGGCATGAACAAGGAAGAAGGGAAGTATTACCAAGGGCGTACCCAGCTCAAAACGTAAGGGGGCACCTTAAAAATTTTTTTAGTGTTTGTTTTCTGTTTGCATTTCATTTATACAGAGTTTCTACTATTATAATTCAAGCAAAAATTTGGCGAGATGCTTATTTAATAATTTAGTCATTTTCAATACCTTTGAGCAGC